TCCCGAGTCTGGTGGTGGGACCTGGGCCGCGGGCACAGAGAGCCCCAGCACGCCGTGAGCTCAGCCTCCCTCTTAGGAAACGACGTTTGGTGACCCCCGAGTCGGCTGAGACCAGCGTCTCCCGCACGCTCTGCTTTCGCTCACGTGGGACAATTAAAAACCGGTCCAGGTCTGGACAGACGAGCCGGTTGCTGGAGCTGAGGGTGGTGGGAGCTGACCCTGCATCATCTGTTCCCCGGTTGCTGTTTCATGTGTCTGCTCCTATCCCGGGGGAAGTGCATGCTGAACCAGGACCGCTTACCCCTGCCTGCCACGGGGGTGTTCAGGCGTTATCGTGGCCTGAGCCTGGAATGGGACCGGGTCTCCACGACCCGGCTGTGATTGAGCTTCCACTTCCCCCGGGATAGGAGCAGACACACGAAGCAATTGCCGCAGCCTAGCCTATCCCTTCCCCTTCCCCCTGGGCACAACGTGCCTGCCTGTCCACACCCACCGGAGTTGCGTCCCCTTGCAGATCTTGGAAACCTGTTGGAAATGGGCCGGGGCCAGACGGGCTGCTTGGCGCCATGTTAAACCTTGTCACCTCCTTCCCCGCAGGTGCCCCGGACCCCACCGCCGGGGCCAGCATCGACGACGAGAACTGCTGGCATTTGGATGAGGAGCAAGTGAGGGAGCAGGTGAAGCTGTTCCTCTCTCAGGGAGGCTACTATGGCTCCGGGAAGCAGCTCAACTCCATGTTCGCCAAGGTGAGGAGCTGCCCGCGCTTTCGGGATTTGCGAGTGCTCCGATTTGCCCAGGGGACTTTGCCCAATTTTTCGCGTGTTCGAGACTGGAGAGGCCGCTGCGTAGCGCGGGGCTTGGCATGTGTCCACCCAGCGAGCCCGTCGGACTCAAAGGTTTCTCTCCCTCTCCCTTCCCCCCGGCGCAGGTCCGCGAGATGCTGCGGATGAGGGATTCGAACGGGGCCCGGATGCTGACTCTGATCACGGAGCAGTTCATGGCCGACCCGCGGCTCTCGCTCTGGCGCCAGCAGGGCACGGGCATGACGGACAAGTGCCGGCAGCTCTGGGACGAGCTGGGTAAGGGTCGCGGATGCATCCTGGAGGGATGGGGCTGGGCTGGGGAGAGCGGGTGGACCCAGAGCCAGGGACTTTTTTTTTGGTGGTCTCTTTTATTGGCCCAGCTGCATGGCTGGGAGAAATGAGGCATGCTGTCAGGCACAAAGCTCCCTCCCCAGTATCCCCCGCCATGCAGGCAGCAGGCGCTGCAGGAGTCTGGGAGCCTGCACTGTGCCTAGTGATGGGGGCAGTTTCCAACAGTGCATGGGGGCCAGCACTTGAGACACTTTGATATCCGTGTCATTTAATTAGGATCACAGGAAAGCAGGGCTGGAAGGGACCTCACACTGCGTCCAGCCCTCTGCTCGAGGCAGGAGCATCCCTCACTAAATCACCCCAGACGCGTGTCTGTCCAAGCTGCTTTTGAAAACTCCCTAGGATGGAGATTCCCCTCCTCTCTAGGAGCCTGTTCCAGTGTTTGACCCTCCTCAGAGTCAGAAAGTCCCTTCTCATCTCCAGCCTCAGTTTCCCCTGCTGCAGCTTGAGGCCGTTGCTCCTAGTCCTGTCCTCTGCAGCCACAGAGAAAAGCCCGTCTCCATCCTCCCTGCTGTCGCCCTTCAGGGATTTGAAGACCGTTATCAAATCCCTCCTCGGTCTTCTCCAGACTAAATAGCCCTAGTTCTTTCAGGCTTTCCCCATCAGTCTTGCACGTTCGTTTTGTGCACTACTTTAAAACGATACCAGGATCTGGTGCGGACAGGCTGCGGGGTGGAGCGCTGAGAGTTGTCTCGGCCCAGCCGGGGTGTAGGGGCGTGCAGAGATGGGTGGGGGAAAGCACCAGTGGTGCAAGAGAGGACTCGCACCAGAGCACGACTGGGTCAGCCGGGGCACGAGTGTGAGAGCGGGTCGGGGCAGGCGTAGAGAATAGCCAGTGGTTTCATAGATGCAAAGAGCAGTCGGGCTGGAAGGGACCTCCTTAGGTCCTCTAGTCCAACCCCTGCCTGAGGCAGGATCAGCCCCACCTAAACCAGCAAAACTATGGTCAGCCCTGGCACGATACCAGACATCACACCTGAACCTGCCCCAGGGAAAGCCGGGGCACTGCGGCAGATGATGCCAGGCTGCTGCAAAGGGGGTTAATATCTCTTGAGCATCCCAGGCAGAGCCTGTGCCCCTGCTGCAGAGGAAGGCAAAACCCTCCCCAGTCTGGACCAGTCTGAGCAGGGGCAAAATCCCCTCCTGCCCCCAATGCAGCGTTGGGCTGAGCCTGAGCGCAGGGGCAAGACCCTCCAGCCAGGACCCTGCGGGTTGGTGCCGGCAGGAGCATTGGCCCAGCCTGGGCTGCAGCACCCAGTGCCTCTGAGCAAGGTGGAAAAAAAATAACCTGACACACGTTGCAGCAGGCAGGAGCGGCAGGCGAGATCCCCTCCCAGCCCCATGCAGCATGCAGAAGAGCCCAAAAGCTTTGGAAATACCTATAGTGGAACATAACCTAGATCAGCCCTGCCCAGCGATATTGGTGGGGCAGAGGGAAACCCTCTTATAGATTCATAGATGCTAGGGTCGGAAGGGACCTCAATAGATTTCATAGACATAGACATCAGGGCTGGAAGGGACCTCGGAAGATCATCGAGTCCAGGCCCCCGCCCAAAGGGCAGGAAGTCAGCTGGGGTCATAGGATCCCAGCAAGATAAGCATCCAGTTTCCTCTTGAAGGTGTTCAATGAAGGCGCTTGAACCACCTCCGGTGGCAGGCTGTTCCAGACCTTGGGGGCTCGGACAGTAAAGAAGTTCTTCCTTATGTCCAGTCTTGATGTAGTTTGTGACCATTCGACCTCGTCATCCCTCGGGGCGCTCTGGTGAACAGACGTTCCCCCAGATGCTGGTGGTCACCCCTGATAAACTTGTAGGTGGCCATCAGATCACCCCTGAGCCTGCGCTTTTTCAGGCTAAAGAGCCCCAGGGCTCTCAGCCTGTCATCGTAGGGTCTGCTTCCCTGACCTCTGAGCATGCGCGTGGCTCTTCTCTGGACTCTCTCAAGCTTCTCCACATCCTTTTTGAATTGTGGAGCCCAAAACTGGAAGCA